GATAGATAGATAGATAGATAGATAGATAGATAGATAGATAGATAGATAGATAGATAGATAGATAGATACTTTAATAATCCCAAGGGTGGTGGTCCATAGCTCTCATTCATACAACAATAAAAACAGGACCCATCATATTTAAGAAAAAAATATTCTGACCACATCGCCAACTTTGTGGGAATGCAACTTCAAACTTGCAAGAAAACTTCCTTTGTATTTGCAAGGCCCCAAGAAGTAGGGGTGCAAACCCTGCTGCAGCACCCCTCAATGGATGCCAGAGGACATGCATGTCCAAATACATACAACAGACGTTATTAGTGCTGTATATGTTTAACCTTTAAAAACCATTTGGATTTTATTGATTTGTCCAATGTCTAAATTCAGATAACATGTGCAAGTGTGCATATTGTTGCTTATTAAAGTTACACTTTAATAAGCAACAATATTTTTTGCTACAGGATCATTTTTCATACAGGATCAGACTAATTCATATCCACAGCCCCCACCACCCTAAAGTAACAAACTCCCCGTGGCTCATGTGGAGTGCACCATTAACAGAAAGGGAAGATTTGATTTATATATCTCGGCTGTTCATCCTTTTTGTATTTTTATGAAAAAGCAATACATTTGAGTTCCCATTTGTGAAAGCTTTCTTTTTTTGCAGCAATTTTTCCTACACCTGCCTAAAACTTCTCTAAAGTACTGTTTAGACAAACTGGACTTACTGAAAAAAAGTGCGGATGAAACATTGTTTTTTTTTTTTTTTCATTAGCCGTGAGATGTGGAACTTTTAAAATTTGGTATAAAAAGATGTAGTTCCTTAATATAATCCATTAACATAAATATTGGAGCAGAAACTAAACTCTTTGTCTCATTTTCAGGGGAAACAAGACAAATGAGGACACATTTAAATCAGGAAATACGCCATCAAAGCTTGGTAATGTATTTTAATCATAAAATAGCAGCTTTCAAGATTCAGATCAAAGCCTTAATAACATTGTTTCAGCAGTCACATCTGATGATGAAAAGCACTGTGTAACTTTAATAAACACATTTGTTTTAATATCAAACAGTAGTTATTCTTTGCCATTTGGGTGCATTTCATCTGGTATTAATGAAGGAAGAGGCTTTCAGGAAAAATAATATATAAATAAATGCGAAGTTTAATTGTGACTTCAGCTGTGATAGAGAGCAGAGTGCTCCTTCTGGATGGTTTCAAAAGTCTCTGATGGGATCTTTGCCTTAAGAGATGTTTGTATTTAAACCCAG